GGGGGGGGGGTCTGAATTGAGCGATCAATTATTAGACTCGGACGTCCCAACACTTGCTTCGCAAGACAAACTCAAGGTATCCCCTAAAGGGCTACCTTTCGTGAAATGCCTTTCGGTTCTGACTGGCCAAAACTGGGGTAACCCGGTTACCCTGAGTTACGCTCTGAGTCAGAGCACGTCATTCAATTACCACAAATGCCGTTTGTTGAGTCTTGGAGATCCGAGCCAAGAGTCCGTGCCTACTCTAAGCCAAGGCTCTAAAACCCTTGTGCCTGCTGGCCTAACTCCCTGGAGAGAAAGGCTGCCTGCATGATCTAGCTGGGCTTCCATGCCATCTTGATGGCGTCCTGAATCTGCTTGTTGCTTGGCTCCAAGCGCTCAGCCTCACTAGAGGCCATGGACTGTACAGGAGACCAGTGGTTCACACCGACTACCACGTGTTGAAGGCCCTTTTCGCTGGGCCACTCAAATCGGTCCATTTGAGACTCCAAATCACCCCATGGGATCCTAGACCCCCGGCAGTAACTGGTGACCTCTCTGTACCTCTGTACACAACTGCATCGAACCCCCCCTCGGAGGGGTAAGTCGTTTCGGAAGGACCTGACATCCTCATCATCCTACATTCTTGTGTTGTTTGGCAATACCTAGAAGAAAAAATGACGAAAACCCCTTGCATACAGGCGCTACCTATCACTGGTCCATCCCACCGAAAACTCGGAACCCAAAACATCCCAGACTTGACTGCGACTCGCACCCCCTCCCGTCCCCTCTGCCCTTTTCGGTGGCCTCCAGTAGCGGAGCAATCGCTTCTTGGTAGCGCTTCAAGGCGTGCAAACCTGGGCTCTCGACCAGCGGGAGATGGTTGATGATTTTGCTAGACCTCCAGCTTGAACGTCCAACCTAACTTGAGAGAGGAGGGGGGTGAACGAAAGGTAGCAGGGAATCAGGCGTAATCCGGGAGGAGGTGAGAGGCCCCCACGGTTGTGTGCTGGAAAAGCGCAGAAAACCATGTAAATACCGGCGTTTTCTGCCGGGAAGGTGCACAAAACCCTGTAAATACCATAGTTTTGTGCAATTTTGAAGCCTCCAAAAGCCTCAAAAACCCTTTCCGACAAAATCTTTCCTGGTTTTTGGTATTTTTTTCGGTCATTTTTCTAACCGAGACGCATCAAAAACCATCGGTTTTTGCGGTGTTTTTTGCCGGACAGCCACAAAAAACGCTGTAAATTCCATGATTTTTGGTCACTGTTGAGGACTGGAAGAGCTGATGACCCCGAGGCGCGGGGGGGGGGCCCCCCGCCGGCCAGCAAACGAAGATGTCGGGGACCATTTCTCAGTCTCCAGCTCTGGGTATAATACATTTTTGCTAAAGCAAAAGGAAAACTCAGGTAGCGTAACCGCTACCTTTCGTGATGAGTCAAGAGTCAAAACATCCCACACGGTTTCACCACTCATCAGCAGAGTGCGTGTCCAACCCATCGTGGATCAGGTGAAGTGGACCGACACCCACTCATCAAACGGGACAACCCCCGTGACAAACCCCATAATCCCCATTCCGCCACGACCGGACACGAAGGGTCTCGAGCCGGTGGCCAAGCGGCTCATCCCCTGGCGGAACCAACCCTTGGGGTTGCTGGGCTCCACCTGCGGCGAAGTGCGGAGTGCGGGGAGGGGGAGAACTGCGAGAACTGGGTGTTTGATGGGAAAAAGAGTCCGGGAGCTTGTGGCATCTAATTCATGCATCTGATCTGATCATCAAACCCTGTCCCAGGACCCCTCCAAACAGATGACCGTCTTCCCATCCGTTCAAACCGCCTCGGAGCACTTCTTGGCATCGGCCAAGGCCTCACATGGCCCACGAGTGCCGCGCGCCTCTCGGTTCTGGAGCTCTTTTTTGTTGAGGCCCTCTGACAACAATCATCCAGAAATGCAAGGCCGGCAAGGCCTGATACCCAGGTGGTTGTCTTTCCATGTCTTTCCGGTTTACCAAAGCTCCCACGAGGCTGAAAATAGGTGTATAGTGTAGGATACAAACCCCACCCAATCCAACCCCAAACAACCAAAAAAACTCAACCAATCCCCCCTCTTCTTCGCCTGTGTGCCCCTCTGCCTCTAGACCATTCATTCCATCCGCGCCTTCTCATGGTCGCCCAACTTCAACCAGCACTGCGCCCGGTTGGCCCACACGGAGCCCATCTCCGGGGCCTGGGCATCGCGCCACGTCCGGCTCGGTCGCAAGGCTCGAAGACTCCACCATCACGGCCCCCAACGGCCCCAAACGGGGAGGTGCGATGTGAGCTCTTTGAGGTCTCCAGTGTTCATGATCTACACATGCGGCGTGTCATTCCGTATGATGGCCTGTGAGTTGCTTGGAAACTATTGACCCTGAGTACTGAGTACTATCTATTTCAGCAAACAGCAAATAAAACAATTCATGTCGGACACCATACTGCAGTTTGCCTTTGGTTTTGCTTTCCACTCCTTAAAATGTTCCCAAGGTAATCTCTTATGGCGATTTTCAATGAAGTACCCACCCACTAGAATCACCACCAACTGCCCTTTAACCAGCTAGAACCCGTTTCCCAATGGCACGGTACGCCACACGAACGCACTAGTTTTGTCAAACGGAAAAGGAAGACAGTTTTTCCATTTCGTAACACGAGCTTTAAAATTGATTTGGATGTTTTCGTAAACGGTTTCCTACGTGACCGGTCGGTTTTGAAGCTCTTCCCAGGTTCCCATTGACTCCGTATTTCACGCGGGGATGGCTTTGAATAGGGTGAGAGATCTTCGATGTCTGTGGATCTCTTATGTATGTTCCTACTTATCCTTTTTGGTGTCGCTTTGCAGACAATGTGGCCAATACCTCAACAGATTTCAAAGAAGGAGGAGGAGGAGGAACCGATTTTGGTCTCCGAACCTTCTATGAGATGCTGAGATGGTGGTCAATATGTCGATGTATGGAGGGCAAATATTCCGAAATTCCCATTTCATAGACACAAACACAGGGTATCTCTCCGGAACTCTTGCAGAAAGCACTGCTGAATTGTCAAGACTGACCCCAAATCCCAAACTCCCACCCCCCCATTCTCTCTGCCATCCTGCCTCTGCCCCGCTTGCACCACATCCCCAACTGTCACTCAGCTCGCTCCCGACTTTCATCGCCACACAGCAATCACCCTTTGCGCGTCCTTCTCACTCCCACATCTCCCTTCCTCCTCACACAGCCCCCACCCCACCGTCTCCAGCGCCAGCGTGTAGAGCGCTGCGGCCTGGGCAAAGTCGCTGGCACGGAACCTGGGCACGTCTGCGTTCGCTGAAGAGAATGATTTGATTCTACTCCGCCTCGGCCGCCTCGGCCCCTTGCCCAGAAGTGGGACGATGCCGCTTTGTCATTGAGGGGATTGTGCCATGTAAACAAGGCTTAAGAACTACTGTGTCAAACAACAGCTAGAGCTTGACCACTTGCCGAAAAAATGCACCAAATGAGTCTATTCAACTCTGCAGTCTTGGCAGCGCTAAACTGAAAAAATAGACCTTACAGTACTAGTACTATACTACATGCAGCACTGGATCATAGGGTGCGGCCTTGACGAGCCCAAAAACAATTGAGTCATTGAGTCATTTCGACGTCCGGTACAGGTCAATGACCACAAAGCACGTAATAATCTCCACAAGAAAAAACGGTTTGATCAAGCCAATGAAGTCAACCGAACAAGGTTTGCTTGGATCGTACAGGACTTGCCGCCGGCAAAATGCCAAAACCGAAAACGACCCGATGGTGGGCCCGAAAACCAGAGATGTGAAAGTCCATGAAAGTCCCGTGTGGAGCCACACCCATAAGCCTAAGCATAGTCATCCGCATGCTCCCATCGAGCCAATCCCCCACAATGGGTCGGTCGAAATCCCTTTTTCCTCGTGTCATCACCTGCGCGAGGTGTTAAAGCAATGCCAAGGCCTCCTCCGTCCGCAGGGAAGAGGGTGCTGGGACCCCTGCTGAACCTACCGGAAACACCTGAAGCCTAGGCCTCAAAAGCCCTTGCATGAAGGAGTTCGAACTCCTTGCAAATGCAGAAGAAATACCCCTTGACAAATCTCTTGTAGGGCCTTTTCTGGCTTTCTGGCCTTCTTCAAGGTTTGCCAAACAGTCTTCCGGATTTAATTTGCATGTTTACATTTGGGTTTGAAGCCCTCTTTGGAGAGATGTGTCTTTTCAACCTTTTTTATACGGTGTCCATTCCCCAAAAATATCTAACGACCAACGTAGACACCCTCAGCACCGGACCACCACAGCCGGATCGACTCTCCTCCTTCAGCTTCGTCTCCACCGCCGCGCCGTCGCCGTCGCCGTCGCTGCCCTCGGCCCCAAAGAGCGCGTCGTAGTGCGGCCGCGCGCGGTGCAGGGCCTCGAAGTCGAAGAACGCCACGGGCCGGCTGCTGGCCATCACCTTAGAAGTGGCATCATGTGTGGCATCATGTGGCGCCACCCGAGTAGCGCCATGGACCCGGCCATACAGGCGAAAGGCGAAAAGGGTGGTAGCCACGGGTGAAACGGGTGGTGGCAACGATGCATCCCTTTCTCGGTGCCTGCAGAGGAGCTCCTGGTTCCCAAGCGCGACTTCGTTTCGAGTCGCTTTCGTTTGGGGGGGGAGAGCGCAGCGAGCACACGTGAGAGCGCAGCACACGTACACCCGTGGAGCCTCCGAAAAGGGCTGGATCCAAAGAACATAAAGGGACAGATAACATAACCCTTCATTAGAATAAAAAGATTGATAAAGTATGATAAAGTATGATAAAGTAAAGAATATATAAATAAGATATATATAACCCTTCAAGGAGCCATCACTGTGCTTGGAGATAGGACCAGGGCATGGGGGCACTCAGAGCCCAGAGGCGGAGTGCGTCCGGTCTTGCTAGGAAGGGAGGGAGAGAGGGAGAAGAAGAAGATACAAAAGTCAGATATATATATACGGAGAAGTTGAAGTCCCAAACCATTAAGACTAAGATCACCGAGATTTGGCAAATAGATGCAAATAGACTCTATAGACCAACACCTGTGAAATTCTCCACAAGCGTTGTTGGGCCACAGTCACATATTGCATCTGCCTCAGCGAAAGCCCCAAGGCAAAGGTCAGGAAGCCACAGGCCGCTGCCACACTGCGCCCGACGCCTGCGTTGCAGTGGCTGTAGATGGTGTGCCCTCGGCGGAGCACCTGGGCAAAGAGGAACGAGGCCTGCGGCAGCATCTGGGCTCGGCCATCCGTCGACATGTCCTCGGCCGCGGCGAGCTGCGGCTCAAAAAGGTGCAGGCGATTGAGGGAAAAAGCGGAATTTCCCAGTTGGGCCTGGTCTGTGAATTCATCCCACAGAAAATCCCTTTTAGGATCTGGGGTTGTTTAGGATCCCCTTCATGTCCCTTAAAGCTGCTGGCAGCCCTCTTGTTTGCAGGTGTCCTCACCTAGCTACGTCCATTTACCATAGTTGTCGTTCTACAGGGTAAAATGACTTGCGTTCTTGACTCTTCAACTGACTCAACTGAGTGTGTGGATCTGGACTCCCAAAGATCTAATCATCCAAATAGATGCTTGGACCACGAAACCCGTAACCGTTAACCGCCAACAACCCGACATTTCGAAGGTCGGCATATGTGTTCGAGTGTCGAAGGTCGGCATCCACACGTACTGCATGCCCTTGGCTTCATACAGCTTGCTCACTGCCATGGGGTCCTCCTCCATGCCGATGCCCGCCACGCAGTTCCTCCGGCAGTCCTCCTCCTGGGAAGAAGGACCCCGTAGTTTCGGGACAAAGCAAGCTACTGTTCAAAACCTTCAGGTACTGTTCACCTTGTAATTGTACTGCTTGGTTCATGGGGGATCACATGTATGCAATATAACACATTTCAATACTCGCTGCTGCGAATGTCTCAGAGCTCATTCTTTGACGGAACGAATTTTAAACTATTTGTCCAAGACGAAAACATAAACTGGGCAAGTGACCACTGCGACCTCCCCACCATGAACACACGGTTCCGGTCCGTCTGGAAGTTGAAGACCGCCGTGATGCCCAAGGAGTGCAAGTAGTCGATGTGGTTCCGGTGTCGGGGGCAGGACCCCACAAAGAGCTGGCTCCTCAGATGCCGGAAGGAAGCCGGCGGGCTGATCAGAAGAAAGGCAGCCGGAGCTTTCAAACCTTCGAAGTGAAGCAGAGCCCGAGAAGGAGATGGCTGATAGAGACTGATAGGGGTTCCCACATATATAGATAGAGGTCCTCACATTCTGTATCATTGGCGATCTCCCTTCGCATACTCAGTATGGGACTCGTTGTGACTCGTTCCCCAAAGGGTCAACGACGCAGGCAACCCGGCAAGACACACACGCGCAGCTGGGTCAAAGGTCAACGACTCCCAAAACGACATCGTTCCCTCGGCAACTTCTGCGTTGTTCCTTGAACGATGGACAGCTCCATTGAACCCAAACGTTCAACTCCATTGATCTAACAGCAACATAACACCCCCACCGATATGAAGATGTAAAACATTCTACAGTAAAACCATTCTGGTATAGAGGGAAGTTTTATCCGACAACACTCTACGTTGGAACACACCTGGAAGATCTTCCAATCCAAGGCGCAAGACTTTCCGCACGGAGATCTCTTGGCGCTCCTTCACCTGGGCGGACGGGGAGTCGGAGCCCGGGGGGGCAGGTGGCAAGAGTTGATGCTCACTAAGGAAGAATAGATGAATGACCATGAAAATCCAGACTTATACACATGTAGAGATAGAATGACATAGATACTATTACTGATTACTATTGAGGCCTGCATTCTCCACCTTGAGGCTTAAATCCGGGCATAACATCATTAATTCCTTCAACGTGTCACATTGGAGTTGATGGTGATGATGGTGGTGATGATGATGATGATGATGATGATGCAGGGTGATGCGTTGACATGGTTGTTGTTCTTGTATTTGATTGTCCATTTGCATGGAACTCTCAGAATCACACAGCGCTTATATAACCACCAACTGGGCGGTGATTTGATATGAACACTTCAACCAACTCTACAAGTACCTGGCCCACCTAAGAAACTGTTGACATCAGGGATCAGGATCATCATGAATCATTCAAAGAAACTCTTTTCTCAAGAACTCCTTCAACCAACACTTCAATGACTTCAACAAACTTCAGAGCTTCTCCTCTTCCCGTTGGCTCCAAATCAAAACTCACGCCGCGCCGGTGACCCAAAGCTCCAAACATCCGGACACCCTGTCGCCAGTCATCACACACCCGCATCACCCGAAAACAGCCACACAGCACAGGGACACCACACGCGGCCCACGCGGCCCGCGCGGCCCACGCGGACGCGACCCGCGCGGACGCTCCCTCCGAGGGACGCCCTGGTAGAAGCGCGCCGTGTGGTCGCTCTCCGACCCGCCGGGCTCCGCGAAGCGCTCCACGGGCAGCAGCAGCGCGCCGCTGTCGGGGTCCGTCTCGCCGGAGTCGGCCTTCAAGACGCCTCGGAGGTCCGGTGCGATCGCACCGCAGTGTGGAAGGGTTGGGAAAGGTGGGAGAGTTAAGTTCGGGTTGGTGGAAAGGGGAGGTCGGTGTGGTTGTGGTCTGTTATTGACATTGATGAAAAGGTTAGGAACCAAGAAGATCGGTGATTCCACACTAGGATTGTGAAGAAACTAGGATTGTTTGGTGGGAGGAAATTCATGGTCCAACACAATTAGTGTTGGAGGACGTGCCCTGTACACGGCACATACATGCAAGACTTACCTCACAGGAACCCAAAACTAAACCCCCCAAAAGCGCAACGACCAGAGGCCAGGTCCTCCAAAGTCGTGTGTTTTTCGGAACGTGCCATCGTCCCCCGTGGCGCCGTTGGAACGCGAGCTTGCACGTCTGACCTCAACTGCGTCCGAGGCGCGGTTCTTGTGGGCTCCCAAATCCTCCCACTTCACCTGCCCGCCCAGCTCCACGAACTTGTATTCCACCTGCGGACGGAGCCGAGTGGATGGACGGAGCAGGTGACCGGCTTCGAAGCGAAGAGGTCACCACCATGAGACAGTCGACTCTAGCATGCTGGTTCGCGGCTGGCGTTTCTTGATGTTGCTAAAGTTGTTTATTGAAAATATTTGAAAATTGGTTTGAGGTGGTTGGGCGCTGGAGCAACCCGCACCTGTCCGCTACCAAGCTCAGGCACGTCCAACTCTGCCCAATGGAAGTCGGGCTCCGACTGGAGGCGCGTCTGGCCTGAGGCGCGTCTTCATGAGCTCCAGAAGCTTTAATTATGTTGCTGTTTGTTCCCACTCTGTCTAAATCCGCAGCAACACACTCCTTCTACATCCTCATGCCTTCTGCAAGTCACATCATATTTACCTCCACAAAGAAACCACAAGAAACCTCCCAAGCATCAACCCATCAACCCGTCAACCCATCAACCATCAACCTTCAAGTCACCACCCCGTTCCCCCTTTTCGGGGCCACCGAATTGAATCGCCCAGCGGCCCAAGCGCGCTTCAAGCTTCTTCGCCCGCTGCACGTCCCACTTCCCCAGCGACTCCGTGGAGCCCAGCACCGCCAGCGCCGCGCCCGGCGGCGCGAAGGACACCACGCTGAAGCGGATCTTCGGCATGCGGAGCGCGCGAGCGGAGCGGAGCGGAGCGCGTGGGCGTGGTGGAGCGCGCGAGCGGAATGAGAGAACGGTGGGGAGCGCGGGAGGGGGTGGTCTTTTGGGGGGGGAATGGGGATGCAGTGGATGCTGGATGCTGGATGCGTGGGGCAGGATGGGATGGTGGAAAGGAAGGGGTCTAGTCGGATTTCAGATGATGACTTTTGGGGGGAGAAGTGATCTTGATGAGGATCATGGTGCTGTTGCAGCAGCAACAAAGCTTGCATGGAACCAGGGTGGACAAGGGTATGGGTCAGTATACTCAGTAGAAGGTAGAAGATCGAAAACATCGACTAATTTAGAACATGCTGGTCTTCAAGCAACATTGAATCTATGTTGGTGTGTTTCGCTCTGCTTTGCAAGCATGCGTCCTGCGGGATGTGCTGATGATCAGAGTTGTCTTTTACGAATCAGCAAGCAGTCAATGGCTGCGGTGCAATACAAGTCTCCGAGAACTTCCGACCCCAAGAATGGAGGCCGCCTCCTGCCCCAAAAGTAGCTTCAAAACGCAAACCACTGCAAACCCCAAAGGCCATGGTTTCTTGCCGACCAAGGCACATCTCGTTCCCGGCCAGCCGTTGCTTCTCCGCCTCCCGCTGCTTGGCTTCGGACGCCGGCGCCGCCTGGACTCCGGGTGGACTGGACGGGACTCGGTCAGTCCAGGGCCATGAGGCGAAAGAGGTCGAAAGGACTGACTGATTCTCCTGAAGCCCAACAGTATACTAAGCTTCAAAGACATACTAGAAAGCTTCTTGTTACTACAGGTGAAACGATTCCCAGTGAAACGATTCCCAAAGGGATGGACCTCGGAACCTTGAGGACCTCTTCTCAGCATCCAACGGAATCTCAACATTTTGCCTGGGGGGAGCCCTTGAGTCGGGCTCCAACACCACCCTGCTTCCTGCTTACGGGCACCTCGGGCTCCGGCTGCTCCGGTCGCGTGGAGCGCCCCAAGTCCTCGGTGGCGGACCACATGGCCCCAAGCCACCAGGGCTGTCGCTACTTCATCAAAAGAACCAAGCTGAGGAACCAAGTACCCAAGCCAACATGTGAGTCCTAGTCAAGAGTCAAGCTCTTGGTGAAGCCTCCAATAAACAAGTGATATTGGATGAACCGGAAACCTGTTTCTTCTTGGTGGTTCAAGATCATTGGGGGGAGAGATTGGCAAAACCGAACTTGTCCTTGATTCGCCCTGCAACACCCCTGGACGAATCCGGGCTCCCAAACAAGAGGAAACTCCCCTTCACCCCGCCTGGCAGAGAAGGGAGTCCGACAAACAGCTCAACAAACATGGCTAACATCGACCTCCCTAAAGCTGGCAATCTCTCTTCATTTGACTTTAAAAAAGGGAAACACCTCTCATTGACACAACCCCTTCTTGTCTAGGAAGGCCCTTTGCAGCGTGGCTTACAGTAATCATTTGGTTGTCCAACCAGCACTCTGACAAACCCCCCAGTCGCACACCCAAGTCAAGTGGGTTTTGTAGCAGAGGCTATTGCATCGTTCAACCACTGGTGGCTGACATCAAAGTCGGAGACCGGGAATGGTCAAGTCACATCAGGTCTGCGAATCTTCCATCTTTCAAAAGGGAACCCCCAAATCGTTCGCATCCCCCCACTGCCTCACTGGCTCAGTGTGCAACTGGCCGCCCGTCACGCCTCAAGTGTTCACTAAATTATTGGCTGTGGATATCTTAAGTCTTCTTGGATTGTGTAGTCCACAAGGACATGCAAACGAGGTGTTGATCCAATTCTGTTGAGTTCACTCACTGATGGAGGTGGGCAAAGAGTGGGCAACCAAAGCATCCCTATCAACTCGCCAGCACAATCTCGAGTTGGCACTCACATGAGGGGGTCACTGCCATGCAAGTTCACCAAACACATCGTGTGGCTTGAAAGGCAGGGCCAGGAGCGCCAGGAGCGCTTAAGGCCCCGGCACGTCATCAGCTGAAAAGCCCCCTCGCGACCAACCTGCCGCAAGGTTGAGACTCGAAGAGTCTATTACTGTAAATGGACGAAAGCACAATATCACTTGACATGGAGGCATGACATTGCAAGCTAACTGCTTCCAACAGCTTGCTTGACATGTTCACTGCCTCATGTTTCTGTTTCAAGCGATGAGTTGATGAGTTCATAATTTCCCATGCACAATCCAGACATCTTTCATTGGTCTTTGACTTCAAGCATCTTTCCTGATATATTTTGCACCTGTGCCCTTTTCAATCCTTTTCCAACTCATTCACCCACAGGGACCCACAGGGAACACTATTGTTGCGACTGTCTGCTTGGAAAAACTGGGACTAAGTCAGGCTCAGTCCAGATTGACCGCGGCTACAACCACATTTCCTCGCTAGGTCCGGAGATTCTGGTTCAACGTCCTTTCGATGCCGATCCGAGCTTCCGTTGCTCAAGCCGTGGACCAAGCGTCCCCACTGTCTGCGGGGTGGCATCGCCCGCGAGGCCCCATGCGATTGAGAAGCCGGGCCTCGAGCGGTTGAGAGCTGGTCTCGGAAGTTACCACCCCCTTGAGTTGCTAATCACTTGGAGTTTTTGTATCTATTCACCTCATGTTCCCACGGTTGTGAAGAGAATCATCTATTCGATTTGCATCCCCATCGCTTGCAATATGAATCCTTAGCATCATGATTTAGGGTGCCAGTCAGTGCGGGCCGGATTGACATTTGTTGGCCCTGAGACAAACGGACATGTTACCTGAATTTATTTAAATGGTTTGTGTTTGCACAAAAATTGTCCGTTCATGCACGCGGCTTGAGAGACCCTCTGATAGATTGCCATTACCAAATTGATTTTTGCGTCTAAGGAAGCGTTGTCCAGGTCCAGGCCAAAATATCTACCACCATGGATTGCTCAAAGGTTGATACAACCACAAAACGATCGCATCTGCAGAAGTGTAAGGAGAGAATATCCGATGCTATCCTTGGATAAATCCTACTTTGGCGTGCATGGTTAAACAGTTCCTGAAAAACCTAACTTTGTCAAAACTCTTACTTTCACATTCCATCCCTCTGACTACATACACACCCCACACGTCCCAGTCCCAGCTGCGAGTTCTGATGGTACGCTTTGCCTTGGCGTTGGCTCGCGACTCGCGCCGCGCCAGTGTTCCAGCGAAGGCCTGGTAACTATTCTGGAGAGCCTTTTCTTTGCCTGGCATTGTCTTACTTTAGCCCGGATCTGAGATTTAAAACGTTGAACGCGGGACCCTGACGCAGGGCGTCCCGGAGCACGAAGACAGAACCCACCCATCTTCCGCACAGCCCTCCATCCGCCCCCAGCTGCCAGAGCCATGGCATACTGGCTCACAAAGTATTGCGCCTGCCACAAGCTCTGCACATCGAAGTAGAGCCGCTCCGATCTCCTGCGCCTGCCACGAAGAGTCGACTTTGGACCCCCAAAACACGAGGTTTTCCTTGCGCCTGCCACGAAAAGTGACCATCAAGTCCGAAATTGCACATGGACAAGGAGAGCGCAGTCGAGAAGAGCACCCACTCACGCCCACCAATTTCTGCGAGCCTGCACAGTGGTGAATGAATGTACTGTAAATAGCAGCGAATTAGCCGCTGGCAGATGCGAAAACTTTCGATCAAACACCTGGCCTTAACAATTCCCGTAAGAGTCCCTAGTGAGTGTAGGGGGAAAGGATGATGCGCCAAAAACATGACTCTCTCTGGGTTTAAAAAAATACTTTGCTGTCTCCGGGAATGACACATGGGTTGGTTTAGACGGCTTTCAATGACATGCTCTTTTTTTCAACCCTGGGTCAAAATAGGTATAACCTAGGGCCAATTAAAAGGATTGGGTCAACAAACAAAAAAGGAGATGTGGTTAAAAAAATACCCTGCCCAAGTATTCTGGTTGCGTCTCAAAATAGAGAGCCCCTCAATAAGCAAATGAACACCAGCACAACAGTGCGCTCATCTCTCAGTTGGAGACCAATTCGTCTATCCCCGCCTACTGTAACTCGGATCTGCATGAGAAATTGGTGGACCTGACAATGCTGACAGTCCCGAATCTTACGGTATCTTCCATTGATCCTCCATCCCATTTGATGTGTCATTGCTTCCACTTCTCCTGACCCCTGCCGATCTGGTGGGGACAGCGCAAGAAGAGGGCAGAGGGCAAACGGCACCACGGATACACCGTCGAGTGACACCAGTTTTTTCTTTCAAAGTCATACCAAATCCAGGACCATACCAAAGTATCCAAAAGTCATACCAGGGCCATACAAAATCCATCCAAGAGCAAGGCCGTGAGTCACCCTTTCTCACCTCTGTAACGGCCCCGTCCCGAGCGACCCAAACGAATCCGCAAGAGTCCGGGAGTTGCTTCCTGAAGCCACCCGAATCCTGCACTTCCACCAACCCCAATGGCACCCAATTCCCCTTGGCTGCCACGCCCACATGGTCCTTCTCTGCGAAGCGGACGGTGAGGGGCTCTACACACTCATCCACTTGCAGCGTGCCCAAGGGCTGGTCCTCAAAAGGGGTACGGCATGGTACGGCTCAAAAATTACAAGAACCCCAAGAGTACCAACTACACATACCCTGCGATCTTGAATCTAAACCTACCCTGCCTCAGGCCTGCTTCGCTTACGTCAGCTCAGCTTTTTCAGTCAAAGTAGCGTGTAGGGTGCCCAACCAGTTCTAAATCGCCGACCTACGACTTCATCCAGCTCCACAAAAGAAGGGCCACCGATTGCCTGCGACCGAGCCTGCGGACGGCACCGGGCATGGAGATCGCAAACGGCACATCGAAATGATCTTCATTGAAACGCATGAAGTGTTGACCGGAGCTCCACCACTGGGACCATACCCAGCCAACATCTCCTCAGCCGCCCACTGGGCTGTCCGGCCAAGATCACCTCAACCCGTTGGCATTTGTACAACTCGACCTCAGACCCCACGGGGTGTGCGATGGGGCCCAAAGGCAGACTAACCGACTAACCGATTGTCCATGCCACATCGTTTAGTTTTTGTCAAAACTCTGCTTGGCTGGAGGTCCATGCATCTCTTGCCTTTGCTGGAATTGGATTTGACACGTCAAATGGATCCCAAAACGAACAATTCAAAACAACCCGCTGTCACCCAAATCGCCCCACTCGCCCCCACTCCATGCCTTTTTCAATTCCATCACCGGCGTTTCCGTGTTCCCATCTGTTCCCCATCTTCCCCCCTGTCCCTGGTCCCTGACGACCTACCCATCCAACCTTACCGGCCCGGACTGTTGAGGTCACCAGCGAGGCCTGCACATGCAGCCGCACGTCACCTCAGACCGTCTCACGGGTTCTTGCACTGCTTGGGGGGGCTGCAAAAGGTCAATGAGATCTGCATGATCTGTCAAAGCCATCTGATCTGCAAGGTGCTTGTCCCAACAAAGAAAAGCGCCACGTCTCATCTGATCTGCAGTTTGCTGTCCTTCAGGATCCAACTACAGCAGTCCAACATCAACTTCAAGACCTTGGCTCCAACAAACTGCTGGGACTCACCTATAGGTGATGGCCGAACGGGTTTCTTTCCAGATGCCTCCCACGATATGTGTGGGGCGCACACAGCATTTTGTGCAAAACATGCTTGATTCAGGGGCTCAAAGACTTAAATCAGAGACGTTCAAAAGGGCAGCCTATGATCCCAGCCAGCGCTGCTGCCATCGCTTGCAGGTACGCTGGGCCGCAGACCCCACTCTTCGACACCACATAACTGGTCCCTGGCATTGCGTCAAAACGGACAGCCGCTTCCACCACCACAGGCAAAAAGGGTAGAAAAGCCCGGCACCTAAACAACCTCAAGTAGTTGGCCAGCATAATTTTCCCTGTCAATTCCACCATCTTCTTGATCCCGTTCGCGCTCACGGCCTTGGCTCCCTTTCAGGCGGATGGCCTGGTGCATGGCCGCGGCCGTGGCAGGGGTGGTGGGCGAAGATAGGTATCGAACCGGCAGTGGGGTATCATCTCCCTCCATGTAGTGTGACAAGCCCTTAGGGCTGGAGCAGCCTCTGGAAACTTGATTGGTAAAGGCACCTGCACCGCACCTGTCAGACCTCACAAGCCGGCCCCATCTGCACCCCTGCCTTGCCCTTGTGCTCGGACAGGTCCACGTCGCCCTGCCGAAGGTCAGCCAAATCGGACAAGCTGGGCTGCGAGCGAAATCGCTCTGACCCGGTTTTGAGGGTCGTGGGTAGATGTCCTTCCAAAGAAGAAACAGCCCTGCTGACATGTCCTACACCAGCCTACACTGTCCTACACTTTGTGATTGAGCCAGAAGCTCCTCAGGGTGGTATATGTCTTGAGCCCTGCCATTGGAAGGGCTCCCAAACTCGGGTGCATAGTTCCTGCCTCCCCCAGCTTCTTGGTGGAAAGGGACACCATTTATGAGCGACCATCATCGAAACATTCCAATGCAAATTAATTAGCCCAGTTCGAAGCACTTCCAGTGGCCCGCATACCGCAACTTTGTTCCATGCCACCCCCCCTCCGTGGGGTTGGTCTCCTCCTGGTGGGTCACAGAGATTTCCCGCTCGTTGCTCCAAGCCTTGGACGTTGTCCAGTGTACTCCATTGTGCTGCATGAATCATCGAACTCAGGTCAAATCGTCAAGATCCAAATTCTTGATTTTTGTTGTTCGATGTGTATCGTTTTTTGGCGATGTTGTACTGGCAGTGTACTGGGTTTTTTAAGCGTGGTACAAAAAGCACATGCATTTCTGAAATCCCCTCACTATGGGCCCAATTACCTTTTCCTTTCCCGGGATTCTAGGAGGAGAAGCTTGTCATATGGGTAGATGGACCTTTTTTCTAAAGTATCCAATGGTCTACAGGTCTCCACGAAACACCTGGTCGCAAAACATGCCCCGCGAAACGTCCCCGTTCGATGCGAAGTCCCGGGCGATGAAGTCGCTTCGCTGCTTCGAGTGGGCGTCAAGGCTTTTGAGCTCCTTCTCGGCCTCGGCCAGGAGCTCAAACAAATTGAAAAAAGAACAAGGAGAGAGGGCCAGCATCAAACATAAATATATATATATGTACGTATGTATATATCTCTCTGGTTCTGCAGAGATTGGATGCAGCCTCACTCACATCCAGCTCGGAATCAAAAACATTGCTGTGGCAAACACAGACGAACCCGGCTCTCTGTAAGAAAAAGTGTGCGCAGAAAGATATGTGACCCCTCGATCGACCAACCCCGCCTGAGCAGTTGGAGGCCCTTTGAGCCCTTCCGTCAGCCCCAACGCCTCAGAAATGGGACCCCGTTGGAACTATCCCAAGCCACCCGTTGGTTCAGGGCAAGCCCTACCCAATCCAACGGTTTGTGCGTGTTTGTGCCCACTTTAGGACAAAGTCATGGCAAGCAGTCTGACAGCCTAGCCTTTCGAAATCGTGGACAAACAGTTTATTGGAAAGGCTGCAGCAGAAACCCGAATGCACCAGAGGAGAAACCGAGACGCTCTATGATACCTTGTTGAGACAACTCTGCCAAAAGTGTCGGTTCTCTCTCTCTCTCTCTCTCTGTCTCTCTCTCTTTTTCTCTTTCCTTTCTCCCGAAAAAGATATGGGTTTGTATCTTTTTGACGTTCCCGGGCTGGGATGTTTGACTATGGGGCATTGCTTTGGAGGTATGCTTCGGGGGTATGCTTCAGAGAAAGCGTCGCACAGTGTGAAGACTAAAGTAGTAGCGTTTTCAGAGGGTATGCTTCGTGCTTCGCCTAAGTCGAACATCCCAGCCCTACATAAACTGGACACAAAAAAAGGTATCCTTCTTGGCAACAAGTGGCCTCGTTGGAAGCGGCGGTCTCCTTTTTGTCCTGTCAGAAGATCAGCATGGGTCAGGCGGAGTCGCAATCAATCCCTTTTCCTCTTTGATGCATATTTTGCATGTTGCGCCCCCTTCGTTAGCCCCTCAAGGCTCTTGGCGGAGGTTGACAAGTCTTGCGCCAAGAAGCCACGCTGATACACAGAGATTCATGAGGATTATGGACAGATTGAACAGGAATTCTACTCATATATCCCCAGACTTCGCCTCCTCCTCTGCTTCTCGGCAAAGCGTTTCAGCCTCCGACGGGTCAGGTGGTCCATCAGTTGAACCGGCTGACAAACGAGACCCTGAGGTCATGGAGTCATTCAACAAGTTGATTCTGCGGATAACCAGGTTCATTCAGTTCCACACAGGACCCTGTCGTAGCAAGAAGCACAACTGTGGCAGTTCAGCAGTTTGGCGCATGGCGCAGTTTTTTCACAAGCTGGAGCAAGCAGCCTGGAAGCAAAAGAAGGACTTGTGCCCATGGATGAGCCACAAAAGGCAGAGAAACAACAAACACAGAGCAGGGAGGACTTCACCTTCCAACTTCCAGGTCCGCGTCAACGCCAAACAGGCAGACACCAAAGATAAAAAGAGGCAAATACACATCGACCAAGAGTGAACAAGAACTGCAAACACACAGCCCTCCTACTTTGGGCAAACAAATGGAAGTGGGTTTGGCTAAGAGCAGAACAGTGAAAGGCCTTCCCATCCTTCCCCATCAAGTCCCTTACGACTACATACTGCTTCTTTCTTTGAGAACCCGACATTGGGTCGACCGGTCCACCTCACGACGGCCGACCCACGTGCCTTCCGGTCCCAGGCACCGTAATTTGTCATGGCCGTGCGAGGCGGTGGAGGGAGCGGAAGGTCAGGAAGGGAAGTGTGGATTGTCGATCATGAAGTTGACTCGTAATCCGAAAATCCTTACCTAATCCGAAGAAAAATCACGGGCTGCCATCTGACGAATTGGACAGCAACGTACATGAAATGTTGACATGTCTTCTTCTCGTCCACACACCCTTCGGTCCGTGGAGTTGGACTGAAAAAAAGCACCGGCGGCGGGCTGTTGAACTACCAAAAGGTGTCTGGGAAAACGGTGACAGTAGGCAGTTCACAGACCCGTCGGGACGGTTCCAGTGAAAAAGGATAAGGGCTGATTGGATGACATTGGATGACATTGATCCAATGAGTATAGTTAATATATTAATACCAACTATGGCACAAGAAACAATCTACACTACGCACAAACCTGCACATAGAAACAGTGGCTGGTCCAGAATAGAAACAAATGATGGGCGGTGGATTTTATTGGTGCTTCCTCATGCTTCCTCAATAGAATGCAGCATGCACCCGAACCCTCACATGCTCTTCCCACCGAATTAGAAAATGCCAATAAGGTTTACCCCTTATAAGGACTGTGGAAATGCTGCGAGTGGAGGAGATGCCTTTAGTCGTGACACCTCTGACTTCTGGACAAATGGAAAAAGTTTGGCTATGTGGAAGGCACCCTTTGACTGCTATCAGAACCAACAATCAGCAAAGTACGAAACCATCATGCCACTCTATCTGGCTGGAAGCATGTCTAGCGGCACACACGAACCACAAAGGCCGTGCCTCTGGCCCACCTCCTGCCACTCCGCAAACCGCTCGGTTGATTCTCCAAAATGCTGTTGTCTCCAACACCACCGCCCATCCTCGACACTGTTTCTCTGCAAGCACTGTCACTTGCCGAGCCCCATCAGCCTCACACACGACAATCTTCCGCGGAAGACGGGACTTGCAACCTAACAACCCGAAGCACCACCTGGGGTCTGGGGCCGTGTCTTGTAGTTTTAAGGGAACCTTGAACAAGTCGGACACCTCGCCAGCCGCCCCCTCGCACCCCGACGCCCCCGGCGTCCCGTGGTTCGCCGCCGAGGGGCTCCGCTTCGACGATCAATGCCTCGTCGAAGCGCCGCTCGAAGCGTCGCTTGGCGTCCCAGTCCTGGTGCGTCGAGCGGCGGCGTCCCAGCGAGACGCGAGACGCGAGGCCTTAAGACGGGGTGAGGGGCCCAGCTTAAACCAAGGTGGCCAAGGGAAAGAAAGATGGGAAAACAGTGGATGAGGCAGCGGAAGGCGATGGTTGGCGAGGCTCTTTCACCTCAACAACTGGCCAACCTCCGAAGAATGAATCACCAAGTCGTCATTCCAAAAAAAGAAGTGGCAACACATGGCAACACTGTTCTTGTGGAAAAGTGCCATCGTTTTTTCCACACACTGTTCTGCTTCCTCGATTCCACCGCCGACATCGGCCCCATCTCGGCCCCCCATCGGTCAATCGGCTGTGGCAGCAGCGCAGTGTCGATGCCTCGGCTGAGCCCCCGAACTGCACACGGTTCGTTCCGACATGGAGAAGCCAGAAACCCTACAAATTCCAACTACCATTAGAATTCAATAGGGCTTTATCAAAGAACCATCGCTTTACATCGGATGTTACACTAACCAAACCGGTTCAACCATCTTAAGGTCTTGGAGTCGGGGGAAGTAGAACTCAAGACAAAACGGAATTGGATTTTTAACAGTCTAGCTAGTTGGAGGTTACTGTTGGAGGTCACTTTCATTGGCGCTTCTTCGAAGGATTCCCCACATCTCAAAGAAGAGGAAGTAGTTCCCTCACCTTCCCAAAGGATTCCAAAAGGGCCCCGGGTCCGTCTCCGAATCGGGCACCCGGACAATCACTTTCTCGCTCGGCGCCCGCCGCTGGCAGGCCAGCCACCATGCCGACTGCGGGAGCTTCACACGGCAGCTTCACCGCCGGCGAACCCGTCGTTTCATGCTAATCCTCCAACCGAACGGAGGGGAGTTCTTCTGAATTTGAGGCTAGTAATGGTGCCCCAGAACAACAATGACTATGACGAACAGTATTGTGATTCATGTGTTATGTCATGTTCTCTTCGAGTTCACGAAGCCTGTGGATGATGGTCAGCAGTCGATGGTCCAGTTTCATAGCCAGGAGCGTTCCGATGGTTTCGGACACTCAAAGTGGGTCAAAACCGGGGACCCTGGACCACCAGTTGACCATCGAACATGAAGAGAGTGGACTACAAGGGAGGTCCACCTACCCGAATTTGGGGCTCCGGGGGGTTTGACCCACACCCACCATGTAAACGAAACCAGTGAGTTGCAGGCTCGACCTAGGAATGTTCCACCCAGGCCCATGGGGAGATTTGTTCATTGGTAGTGCAGCTTATCGTGGCACCCGTCCCAGAAGCTGAGCTTGGGTGGCCATGGCAAAGTGGAGCACCACACACCCAAATTGGATTCGCAAACACTGAATCCTGAAAGCAAAACGCGCAGAAGTTCCCAGTGTCTGCAGCAAACCTCATTGGCACTTTCCATATCATTTTGCACATGCATCTAGACCCGAGTCCACCCTGGTCCCCTTGTATTTTTGGACCATGTCCTCAAGCCTTTTCGTACATCACTCCTTCTCTTAGCTCCCCCAACAAGACCTCCGAGCGCTCCCACCGCGACTCTCGTGTCCAGCCTGCGCCGATCGCTTCGGCACACTTCCCCTCCTTCTTCCAACCGAGACCGTAGTCCGGCCGCACCTCACGTCCCGGCACACGGACACAGGGCCAGGAACGAAGGCTCCGGGAAGCCGGCGAGCGAACAGAGAAGGGAGAACTCCAATTGATAAAGAGGGGATTCAAAATTCTAATCATTCCAATACATTCCTAATTACAAGACATGGATGCCCTGTCTTGGGATGTGGTTTCGGCGGCAGTGTGGGCGTGAGACGGAAGCTTGGAAATCGTTTCCCCCCAACAAGCATGAAGTCACGGTCCGACCAGCGAGGCAATACAATCTCACAAATCCCGCCCTGTGCCCCCGAAACCAAGCGCACCCACTCCACACGACTCCACCTCGCCTGAATCCGCCGGACACCGCCCACGGCCATGCCCACGAGGGCCTCGTCCAGGGCCTGGCAAAGGAGACTAAGGAGCGCTGAGCTGAGGAGCTGGAAATGATGACTTCAGCAGGTGGACCCGTCGTCCGGCCTTCACGAAGCGGCCCTGCCCGATGGGGGCGTTCAGCGTGGCCTCCTGGCAGGCAGCTGGAATCCCTTCGAAAGGAGCAGAATGACAAAGATGAATGGGTACGCGCTGAAGATGTGGTAATGCAGACACATGTAGACTCTTGATTCCTGGAAACCCGCCCAGACATGGGATTGTATAAAAACCTCTTCAGGTTTGGGCATTTGATTCATTAAATCAAGAGTCTTCAGTATTCTTCGGCTCAAACAGCTGAAATCTAAACTTCTAAACAGATCCGATACTGATGGTGGCGGAAGTGCACACCTGCCCATTGGAAAAATATGAGTACCATGGACTTCCCAAGTAATTGTTTGAGTTCATGGCATCCACAACTGGACACGAGTACCAGTACCTTCGACCCCAATCCTGAAGCAACATCTGCTGGACACTCGGTTCTTTAACCAGAAGGACACCCGCTGAGGGGTCACACCACCCTGATACAAAGCCCGAATTGCGCTGTTTCAGCTTGGTCGCACGACCACGGGCTGGCCACCCAGGCGATCTCGAGGCCGCGCCCGAGCTCTCGATCTGTCGATCTGCCGACGGCCACAAAGCCGGAACTGCATCGCACCAGTTCTGACGGGGCCGTAAGCCACAATGCCAAAGGGATAGCCATTTCATCAAACCAGACCCTCAACTCATCCGCAACAACCCCCCGGCAGCCACCAGAGCCCACCCCAGCAGCCCGGCTCGGCTCGTCCTTGGGGCCGTCATCCTCTCCGTAGCCCAGCGAGAAGAGGGTCGTGGCCTGGCGAGACATGGTCTTCGACCACGGAACGACTCAGCGTGGCGTCTTGACCACTCAGCTTTCCTCCGACCTTCCCCAGACCGCCTCGCCGCTGAGCCCGTCGTAGGAGCGCTTCCCACTGCGCATCACCCGGTACCTGGCCGTAGCCCAGTCGCCCGGTCGCCGTCGCCCAGAACCTCCAAAAGAAAGGAGTCCGGGTTTTCGGGTCTCCGGCACTCGCTGGAAACAACCAGTCGGATTCCTTAAAGAATGGGTCGGCAAAGAAGCATCAAGAAGGAAAACCGAAGTGGTCAGCTCAAAGGAACAGGAAGGTGAAACAGAATTTGCATACTCCGATCGTCGGAATGCATGAAATACCCCCATGCCATATATTTTTCCCCGGCTTCGCACACGGAAACGCCCCCATCGTCGTTGGCACGCCTAATCTTCACATCATCACCGACCTTCGCAACGCCTGCGGACTCATCACCCGCCTTCACGTCCTCCGCTGACAGCGGTGCACGAAGAACCGCGGAGTCCGCTGCGAGCGCGGAATCCAAAAAGGCGATGTATGGATTCCGCTGCGATGGGCAATGGGCATGAAGCAAATCTGGGTTTTAGAGGGGGTCCTGCCGCCTCCAGAGGGCTTTGGCAGGATCTACAACCGTCAGTTGTTCTCCAAGAAAACAGCAACCTTGGACCGCCACGTTCGATGTTCGGACGTTTTGGACCAGCAACATCTAGGTGCCATAGCTGTGTGCAATTTGCATCCAGCTACAAGACTATCCTGCATCATCGTGCCAACAACACCAGCTACATCTCTGCAAACATCACTGCACACCGGTGTGAAAACCCTCTATTAAGTCAATCTGACGGACGATTCGTTGTCTCAAAACGAACCAACGTTGTTTCTAAAACTCTTTGGACTCTTGACAGTTGATTCATTCCAAAAGCATCCAAAAAAACAATCAAAAACCACAACGATTGGAAAAGAGGTGTCCAATCCCAAGACTAGTTGCAGAAAAGTTTTCCATCTCTCATCGCTGGCCTTGTATCGTGCTTTGCTAGGAGTCAGCTTGTATGTCTTTTCCTGTCGAAGAAACTCGGTGGGGAAGCACCCAGTCAAGGCTTGAACCCAGGAGATGCGCACGGAATCAGTAGCAGTAGCGTTGCATCATCAAAAATCCATTGCAAACCAATTCCAAACTTCCAAACAGGCCCACAACGCAAGGGATGATGAGCTTCAATTAGTACTTAAGGGATCACTGCTCCACCACTTGGCTGTATAGCTTGCAGACAAGCCAGATCCGTTTAAATGGGTCTAGTGTTAGGCCTTTCCTGATATAATCGGACTGACGAGATGGAGCTTTTAGCGCTCTCCCACTTGGAGAAGACCGGCCATCTGGGAGGTGGAGACTTCCAGCTTCTCTGACCGCCCACGGGCCCGGCCCAAGGCGTCGCGGACAACGAAGCGATGGCCTGACCCGGAGAGGTCATGCCATACTTCTCCTGGAAGGAGACCGGTGAGACTGGGGATGTCCCACCTCAAGACCGCTACCGGGTCGGGGAGTCCCGCTGAGAGACGGGTAGAACCAGAGTGTGGGTATGAGAGGAGCCCCTAGTAGCGTCCTTGCTCCCAAAAGAAGTATGCACCTCCCAGACCTGTCCAGGCTTGGAACCAAATCCCTCTCGCATGAGAAGGCCGGCAAAGTCTGACGCACAATGCCGACCCTTTCCGCCAATGAAACAGAATCCCAGCAGCAAACAGTCTCTCTGCTACGAGAACATCTTTGATATCCTCATCCCATTTATTGCTCGCCTTCTGACCAAACATGTCCTACACAAAACACATCAAAGTACATTCTGCCTCTCTCGTCCTGTGATCAGAAAGATGGATCCTGCACCTAGCTGACATGTCAGACGCTAACAGGACTAATAGACTTGTCTCAAACGTACCTCTTATGTACAGCAAAACAACCCCAAAACAGCTAGAGCGAACCCCCTCTACACGTCTGTTAGAAACCCTTAACCTTTCGATCTTTTGGGGAATGCCTCTTTCTCTCCTCACATGCTCCGTCTCCCTCGCCCCGCGATCTCGGCCTCTTCTCTCTTCAGGCCCAGCTCTTCGCACTCCGCCCGCGAGCGGCAGTCCAGCGCAGCCTGAGCCGGAGCACGGCCCGATCCAGTCACAGACTTGGATCACAGACGGCAACACAGGTTTGGATCGCGCAAGCGCGCCACATGAGGCTCTAAACTCTAAACTGCTGAAAGGGCAACCCAGATGGGTCAAGCGCCAAAGGCGCACCACAAGGCTCTAAACTGCTGAAAAAGTTGCCAGGCACCACAGCTCAGATGTGAGGGGGGGTTGGGGGCCAGGGCGCGCTAAATCTGTTTTGTCTTTGGGTTTTGGAGGCGTGTCAGTCATGGGTTTGCTTTTGGGCAAGAGAGGCTTTGCAACCATATCGAAGGACAGGTTTCTGGATGTCTGCTTGCATTTGGTCACAGGAGAGCCGCGCTTCACATAAGCGGTCAGAATTCGCGGTCCGCCAGCGACACCCCAAAGCGTGGCACTCCCGGTTTGTGTAGCTATTCATGAGGCCTACAGTACTCGATTGGTGACACTTGAGACCTACTCCTGGAATTTTGGGGCGAAAGGAACCTTAAAGCAAAAGAGAACATGGCCAAGCAACCAGTCCGGCCAGGCTCAACATTCCTGTGGGAACAGAATGAAAGAAAAATCCCACGCGCTTGCTTTAGTAAGCGGGAGGTTCTGTGGAGTGCACCAGCGGATAATGCGGATTTGGTGATTGGAAACACCCAGCGAAATCCGAGGCGGAGTTGATTTCACCCTGGAAGAGGCCCAAAAGTTTGATCTTTCAACTCAGGACCCCAGGAATCGGCACTCAAGGGAACAGGAATCGGCCAGGTTCAGGTCAGACATTTTTCAGGTCTGCTAGACTATCTAGCAGAGAGGAATCTACCAAGGCCTTGGTGGGGACATGTCCCTGAGCTACGAATACATGAGAGTTTCTTGTCTTCTTTAGGGACCTCCAAAATAACTCAAAACATTTATCTGTCCGTCTGAAAGATACTATACAAAGGTTGATGTATTCTGGTATCAACAAGCCTTGGTACCTCTCGGTATGTACCCCGCCTTGTTCATGCCCTTCCCCAAGCCGTAGCCCTCGGGCGGCGCGTTGCCCTTGATGAGTGCTCGTGCCGCACTAAGGCCTCTCGGTCGGTTGAGGGACCGGACCTGGTCCTGGTGCTCAGGTGGGAGCGCCAGGAATAGACCCCTCAAAAGTTCCTTCCTGGTGTTTGACAGACTGTCATTTCCCCGAGGCTGCAATGGTTGAGAATCTGGCCCCTTTTTTTCCAGGCTGTGCACTGTGCATCTGAGACGGCAAGACCAAGAAAGGAGAAATGATCCTGCTTGTCTCGAAAATGGAGCACTCGAACCGAGTGGGGTTACTTTTATCCTGTTTAATCACTCAAGGTGTACCGTCGCCTCCCAAGGACAGCGTCAACGCCAGCCCAACCGCCGCCACACGCCGTGGCGCAGCAGTGGAACCAGCGGAGGTTCCGTCGCCATGGAACTCCGAGTCGGTCCTGCAGACCCGTAAAGCTTGCTTGACATGCTCGACCAACTTGGATTGGGTTCCGTGGAAACTTGCTTGACTTGCTCGATTTTTATGAGGAGTCGGTGGTAAGTTGCCTGATCTGTTTATACAATAAACCCTGTCAATGAGGAGCCCTCCAAGAACAGAAAATACGAGTGGTTGCTGTTCTTTCGACCTGATTTGGGTATCAAAAACAACTGGAAACTGCAGTGAGCTTCGACCCCTCCAACCAAACCATGCAGATCTGTTTCTTGAGTTCAAACCATGAAAAACCAAAAGGGATTGCACTGCCGATCTCTTCTGCAGTTGCTTTCCCTGGTACCTTGGAGAAAATCTCCTTCTCCCTCGGACAGGCCCAAAAAGTGTCACATATGGCCGGCGCGTCGGTGGCGCCACCGGTGGCCCATGTGAGTCTCAGACTTTCAGAACGAAGCATGCTTCGGTCTGGCGACCGACCGAGCGCCTCCATCTCACGGCCTCTTCGGCGGGCCCAGCGCCTGCTCCGGTCCGGTCCAGAGGCTTCTGCGGGTCGTCTTTGTGTCGGAGGGTTGAAGTGAAATGAACTACGTTCGGACCCTCGCCCATCTAAGGATACCTTTCAAAACCTTAGGCCCGTTCCGGCCCCATCTGACTTCTGGCTACTCATTCACTTCACTGGTTCCATGTCCGTTTCAAATCTCCTGCATGTGGAACGATCTTCTCTCGGTCCAAACAAGAAAAGAAAATGGAACCGAACCCCACCAACACTGTCGGATACCCCAAACGGAGACACTCGCGCGAACGGACGGGTCCGCCCCCGCGTCCGCCTCGTGGAGCCGGGGCGCCCAACCACGAGAGCGGCCAGGTGGCAGAGGCCTCGAGGTGGAAGAGGGGGGAAGGTCTTTGGAGGAGTGAAAGGCTGGAAATAGGCTCACAGGATCTAAAATGCTGATCTGGAAAGTCTCCACTGATCTGGAGCCCAACAAAGAATTATACACCATGTGGGTTCCATTCACTTGTTTAGGCCGCAAGTCGTGGATTCGTAGAAGATCCGTAGAAGCCAAGGCGTGAATTGGATCCACTGAATCGGCTTTCTGAGTCGGGTTGGCTTCGTTCGAGATTCATTGGGAAATCCACAATACAGAATGTATTATATCCAATCCACCTAGTTTTTCCCAGACTGCCCTTGCCATGCTCTTGATAAGCAGACAGCCGGGCTGGGCTCCCCGAGTAAAACACAGCCGTAGTGGCGGGGCACAAGAAAGTTCCATTATATAACGCATGCAGCCTGAAATAAGAAAAGACCCGATGTGTCTGGTCAAGCGCTCCAAATGGTCTTTTGGTATACTCTGGACGGAAAGGGATGATTACAGTAGCGAGTCAAAAACGGTTCCAAGACGGGAACTTCGACGTGTTTCAAAATGGTTTGAGTCCCAAGCTGTTGACCATGTCAATGTTGGTTCCCCCAAAGTTGGGATCGAACCCCCCGACGACGAAAGCGGTTCTGTGCTCCCCCACCACCAGTACAGCACCCAGGAGCCACAAGGGGCTCCTCGCACGAGCTGCAGGGCTGCCGCGCACGGGTGTGAGTGTGTGTGTGTAGAGTTCAGTTGCCCTAGGCCTTGTAGTGCCCTGGCAAGCAAGAAAGCCGTTCTAAACGATGAGCTCAAATTGTTATGAGACATACAATTTGACCATGTCCTTGAGTCAAGTGATTCATTGACTCATCATCGGGCAGTCATCGGTGGACGGTTGTTTCATGGATTCAATGAGTCAAGGATGACAAAACATTGGAGAAACCAAAAATATTTTGCACTGATCAATATATTCATTGATGGATACAGATCCTCGGTCCCTATACTTCCACTATTTCACTGCACATCACCTGTCACCATTTTCACTGCCAACTGGTGATGTTTCTATCACAAGATTCGTACTGGGATAAATTGTGAATCTCAAGTAACAAAAAATGATAATTTGACTACCATAGTGTCTCAATTGAACTAACTACCAGAACCTTACTTCTGAAATCTTTTGGATGTTCCTGGAACTCCTGTGCAAAACCATGGGCATGTGGCCAACACTCCGAATCGGATCCTGACATATCTCAAGCGCACCTGGCAGGGGTCAATCATTCGGTCTCCGACACTGCTAACAAAAGCATGTGGAATTTGATTAAACGTACACACACACAACATGTTACTGTTCGATGAGCCGGTCATGGCTACTACAGTTTTGTACTACCCACCTTTTCAGAAGCAACATCATTTGCCACGTGTCCTTGTTCCATCCAAACGAAAAACCACTGCAAACACCTCACACCAGAACAGGACCCCCAAGCTGGTGGCGCTTGGGAACTTTGTGCGGATATGTAGGTCAATATGTATAGGTCAACATCGAAACATGGACCAAAACCAAATGGTTGAGGGCGAAAAAATTATGACGAATCCAAAAACACGCGGTTTATCTCAGTTTTATGACATGTTAAAAATCCACATGCAAGTTAAACCCAGTGCTTCACTCCTGCCTGCACCATTTGTGAATGGCAGCTATCTTTCATGCAAAGGGGCCAAACATGTGTTTGGCTCGAAAATGGCTACGGGCATGTGGTTTTTTCAACACCAGCGACTTCCAGCTTTGAGTTTCTATCAATCTCGGGATCAGAACCAAACGACGGACTTGCAACGACTGACTTGCCAACACGGTGATCCAAAACCAAGACATTCACTAACAAACAATACATGAAAACTGATGCCCGAGTCGGTGTGCAATCGGATCACGAGTACTTCACGAACCCATATTCAATTGATAACTCCCGCATGCAAGAAGTTACCCCTCAGGACGGGCTAGGCTATCGACACAATAGCGGACAGGATGAGGCTAACAATCCCTGCATCATCGTCCGCGCATATGAAGGGCACTATGCCTTTAACAATCGCCCAGCCGTCCCGCACACACCCCGGCTGGCGCAAGCCTATCGGCAGGGCATGCTGGATGCAAATTATGGACAGTCTATCTCGTTCCCATCCTCCTACAAGTGCTGCTTCCGCCTAGAGGTGCCAGTATGGTATGCAGACGATGGGCACTCCCCACCGGAAGTGGCCCAAGAGGCTACAGGGATCGCTACCCTGGCCAAGCCTGTCTCACCGGTGGCCGAACCAGAACCCAAGACTTTTGAGGCAGTGCAAATGGGAGCGGAAGTCGCCCCAGCTAATGAGGACGAAGAAGTTGAGGCCGACGACGAAACTTACTTGGTGCCGGCAGGATACGGGTGCTTCTCATTTCAACGAGGGCTCCTCCACCGTGCTGCGCGTACCTATGAGGTCCGCAGTGTAGGCAACAAGTATGAGGTCATAGGCTTGGCTACTGGAAGGGCTAGCTGTCACGATCTCCCGGAGAAATTGGAACATACTCTCATTGAACAGGAAGTGCACTATGACTGACTACTACCTGCTCCAGGCGTACGCACTGTATAAAGCTAATGGAAATTAGTCTTCCGCCCACCCTACAGGAAATTCAGGCAGAAGTTCAGAAGCATTTAAAGGCTGCCTCGCCCTTGCCAGCATTGACCTGCCTGACAAGCTCAGGTATATTGCGCACAGGGCGTTTGGAGAGTGTGGACTGCTGTCTCACCTGCATTGTCGGAGAATGGTGCGAGCCACTTGGAGGCGCCCGTATGCTGCTCACAATGCCTTTGAGTCGCGTTTCAGGCTAGTGCTCCCTTGGTGGCTCAATTATCTCCCGCCCAATGGGGACGACTGGACGGTGCCGCCGAGCTTTCATACTTAACTGTGCCAACCAGCATAGGCTAATCTAGGGCGGTCACCTCTGTCACTGTCCCTAGAGAAGAGCCAAAGGAGTAGACACATTGTGAACAGACCATTACTTGTCAGAGTAGGGTGACACCTTCTGGCTCAAGCTACCTGAGACACTCACACTCCCTGAGGTTGCGCTGAGATGGTTGGGGAAATTTCCTCGCAGGACAGCTCACCGGCCAGCGCAGAGCGGTCAATCGTCTTTCACCTCATTCTGCCCGTCACATCCAGGCCGCGCCCCAGGTAGTTCTAACTGATCCCGTTCGAGTTCGAGTTCAAGTTCGAGTTCGATGCGCGAGATTGCGTGGATCGAGCGAGAGGGGGGTGGACCAGTTCGAGTTCGAGATCGAGTTCGGATCGACAACACAATTATCAAACCGGGGGGGGTGGACCGGTTCGAGTTCGAGTTCGAGTTCGGATCGACAACACAATTATCGAGCCGGGGGGGGCGGACCGGTTCGAGTTCGAGTTCGAGTTCGGATCGACACACAATTATCGAGCCGGGGGGGGTGGACCGGTTCGAGTTCGAGTTCGAGTTCGGATCGACAACACAATCCGCCGACCCCGGCCGACGCAAGGGGGAGCGCGCCAGGGAATAATGATAGATCCGCCAGAACTCAATCGTTTGGAGCAGAACTCAATGGGTTAAAGCCGTGGCGAAGGGGTGG